ATGTCCAGAGGGAGAACAAACAGTAGCATTCTCTTTACAATCAATCGGTGGCAAAAGCCTTGGATGCTAACTATTGGGTTTACATTATCTTTCCTCTCCACACTGGTATTTCCTTCTAAAAGATGCAGTCAGCCCCTTTCCTGGAGCTGCTCTTCTGAAGCCTCCCATCTGCTTTTTTGGATCTCTTAGCCTGCCTCACGCATCAGCTTGCATTTTTAATTTGGTTGCTTCCATCCCTTTAAATGCAGAAAAATTCTTGGGTTCCTTTCTGAGAGTGTGCGTCCGCTTCCCATCAAGGGAGGGCTGATTGTAGTAGGAGCATGATTATCCCCGTTGGTTTAACACAGCACGGGTGCTATCCATTTTTTGTTATTACAACTAATAATCAGGCTCTTGACTTCAACTGATCTGTCAAAATTTTCCCTTTTGGCTTTCAGCCTGTTTGATATAGAATGATGTGGAGTTTTAAGCAAACAAATGACATGCTCCTTGAAATTCTGTCAGGGGTAATAAAGTGAATGAAAATGCATTCACTGTTCAGCTGTCTCTGCCTTCCTTCCTTCACCCTTTTATCTTTTCAAGCCTCTGACAGCAGCTTTCTCTCTTTCTCTCTCTCTCTGCAATTCCAGAGCACCAAAGCCCTGTTGGAAAGTAGTGGGAGGGAATGAACGAGGCACTGACCTACAGGGGGGCTTGCAGCACGGAAGGCACCTGCAGAAGCACACTCCTTTTCTTGCACAAGGGAGAAATGGATGCTCCTTCAGCCTCCTCCCAGAGTGATGTCATGAGTTGGGATTTATTCTTTGTCTTTCCAGTTTCTACAGAAAGTTCACAGGTACCCTCTTGGGATGTACCAGGACCACAAACTAGTGAACTCCTGGGAAGAATCAAAAGGGACTTTTTAAATTTGGAGATCTAAAGCTGTGAACACTAAGGCTTAGACAAAGAAATGTGGAGTGCTTGTAGCCCTCACTTAAACTCTTTCAAACACATTACCCCATTTGCACACAACTGGTGACCTCAATAGAGTCTTTGATGAAGAGTATATAAGAATGGATTTCCATTGCATGCACTTGAATTTGTATTCATGTTTTATGTGGCCCATGATAACTGCTCCTGTAGATAAATCTAGGTATTTATTTGTGATCTACTTCAAAAAGCTGAGAGCTAGGGAGAGGGAGAAGGGGTGGGAAGCCCCAGATAATTAATGATCCTTGTTAACGGGTCCTGATTAATGAGCTTGAGCTATGTAGTGATTTATTTTCCCTGCCCCCTCCTCCCTTCAATCAATAAAGAGATTCTGGTCTGAGGGAGCCACTGAGAGCATCCATTATGTTAGTTTCAAGGGCAGTAAGTTCCCCTAGATCCTCCCCTGCTTGCTCTCTCTTCAGCTTACCCCAGCAATCACTTGCCAACCTTCGACTATGGGCCCACTTGCCTCCAAGGCACTGCCAGGTGAGTACAGCATATTCACTGCCAAAACCTGGCAGTGGCATCAAGAAGGGGGTACATCAAGCGATTTCACTCCTGCCTCTGCATTTCGCTATGGTTCTGATCAGGAAATTGAGAGAGACTACATGGAAGGACAGGTACTGGATCTGAGCCAGGCAGGGCAGCCCCAGGTGGGGGCACTCAGGTCAAGGAAGTAGTGTGAGTTCAGAGACAAGGAAGAGAGTGGTGTGACCGGTTTTCCTGGGGCAGGTTGTCATTACAACTGAGCACTTGGAAAGTGCAGGCATATTATTTAGTCTTTTTTTTTTTCAAAGGATTTACTTATTTGAAAACCAGAGAATCAGATAGAAGGAGAAAGAGAGGCAGAGAGAGAAAGAGAAATTTTCCATCAGCTTATTCACTCCACAAATATCCATATCAGTCAGGGCTTGGTCAGAAACCTGTAACTCTGTTCTTGCCTCCTGAGAGGCAGAGGCCCAAGCACTTGAGCCATACTCACCTGCCTTCCCAGACAATTGGTAGGGAGCTAGGTTAGAAGCCTGTAGTAGTTAGGAATTCTGCCGCAAGTGACAGCTTAACCTGTGGCACCACAATGTTAGCCCCTCTCATTTTGTCTGCACATTGACAGACTATTTCTGTAAAGAGCTGGATTGTAAATAGTTGAGGTTTTGTGGGCCAGAGGTCTCTGTCACACTTGCTGAGCTTTGCTCTAGTGGTGTGAAAGCAGCCATAGAAAGCAAACAGATGTGGCTGTGTCCCAGTGGAATTTGTTTACCAAAAGAGGTGATCAACAGAAATTTGTCAGCTCCTGCTTAATAATTTGTTTGGCATAATCCCCATTTTATAGAGAATAAAACTGAGGATAAAACAGTCATAAAAGTTTACCTGCCGAGGGCTGATTTGGTTGGATTCCAAAGACTATTCTTAACTTGTACTTATACTGCAAGGAGTAGATCCATTCTGGGATGAGTAGACAAAGTCTGTAGTCATGGTGCAAGAAGTTGGTCTTCAATCCAGTGAGAGGCAGAGGGGACCAGTGATGAGAAGGGAGATAAAGCTGAGCTTGGGAAATATGGCTTATGCAGTGGTGAGTGCATGCATTAATATGGAGAGGAGTTTCTTTTTTGGAACAGAGAGGTTCATATCTTGGGCAGAGCCATTTCTGTTTCTTTCTCTTTTTTCAAAGAAAGATTTATTTATTTTTATTGGAAAGGCAGAATGTACAAAGAGAAGGAGAGACAGAAAGATCTGCTGGTTCATTTCCCAAATGACCACAACAACCAGAGCTGAACCGATCCAAAGCCAGAAGGCAGGAGCCAGGAGCTTCTTCTGAGTCTCCCATATGGGTGTAAGGTCCCAAGGCCTTGGACCATCCTCCACTGCCTTACTAGGCTCTAAACAGGATGTTGGATGGGAAGCAGAGCAACTTGAGCGCAAACCATCACCCACATGGTATGCCACTGCATGGATGTGGAGCCATCATGCCAGCCCCAGAACTGTTTATGACCACTGTAGATAAAGAAATTCTCTCTGGTATTCCAGTTACCTGCATGGCCTCATCATGGTTCCACATTACTCAAACAAGTTTGTTCAACCTGAATTTCTGCTGGATTGTACACTCATATAGAGGGACTTTTTTAAGTGCTGTTTTCTTTTTAAAAAACGATTTAGTTGAAAGGTAAAGTAACAGAAAGAAGGGGACAAGAGAATGAGGGAGATCTTTCATCTGCTGGTTCACGTACTAAGTGCCTACAGTAGCCAGGACTGGGTCAAAGCCAGGAGCCACAAACTCCCTTCTGTTCTCCCTTGTGTGGCTGGAGCCCAAGTACTTGGTCCATCACCTGCTGCCCCCTAGCTGCTGTAGCTTGGCAGTTAGCCTAGTTTTGAACTGTGTACTCCAGTATGGGATGCAGTGTTCTAAGTGCACCAAGTGACCAAACGTGCTGTGCCACATAGCCTGCCCTAACTGCAGGAAACTTCACCTCAGATTCAGCAGCTCACCTGAGCTCACTTAGCCAATTATCCAGTCATCTAGATTGAGAAATTCTAATATGCCTTGTATTGTAGGTGCTTTGGGTATGTCTTTGAACGAGCAAGATCCAAACCCCTACCCTTGTGGGGTTTATAGAACTGCACTTGAACCCAGCTTGGGCTTTTTTTTTTTTTTAATGCTTATTATGCTTGTTTTCCTTTGTCTCTCTCAAAAATGTGCTGATCATTTGCATTTCAGGTTGGCCATAGTAGTTGTCAGGATGACATTCTACTTTCTTTGTATTTTCTGCACCTAGAAAATTAAATGTAACTTTGCTTTCCTTGTGATTTAGTTTTGACAACTTGGTGGTCAGGGGACGGAGTTTAAGAATTAGATACTTGGGGCTGAGGTGTGAAATATAGAACCTTAGAACAGGGGTACCTGTATGTATCTGCAGTGGAAGATAGACTTCAGCAGTGGGTAAGGGTGGCGGAGTTGCATATCGTGTAGTCTCTGGGAGCCGGCCTGCTGGTGGAGGTAGAGTAACCAACCTCCATCTTGTCGGTGGAGTCATTGTGTGGATTCACATGTGAACTTCTTGCCACCAGCAGTTGAGGATACAGATTCCCTGGAGAGCTGCAGATGGCCAAATACCCATATAAACAGCCCCCCATAACACTCTGGAAGCTCACAAATCCATGTGTGGTGCTTAGTCTTCCAAATGCATGCATGGGTATTTTGCTTGGTTTCATTTGCTAGGGGTTGGGACAGTTGGGGGAGAAAATTGTTCTCTTGTGCTCACTGTTACCTAAGTGAAGGGAAACACTCCTTTGCTCTGGAAGCTGTAACAAAAAAGGAGAATCTGAATTAGAGTCCTCGAGGGAATGTAGCCTTGGCCATCCAGGGTGCTACACATACCCACATTGTATGGAGCGATGCTGGAATAGCTGAGTCTTGGTCACAGACTATCCCAACAGTGGAAATGATGTCTGGCTTTTAAATTAAACCAATTAAATTTGAGATGATGGTGAGGTTGGTAAATAACTCCACTGGCACAAGAGTAAATTGCAGGGCCTCTGTTTTTTTCATACTTGGCTTCTGTACAAGTGACTAGGGCTCCTGAGAACTGGGCTAACTCAATAGGCCTGCATACCCTGAAATGGCCCGTTAAAACATGCCTGTTGGGTGGTAAGCTCTCCATACGTTTTCTCAATAAAGAGAAAAAGATGGGAAGGGGCGGGGGAGCTTTGCTGTGTGCATTTGGATCCCAGGCCTCTCAAAGCTGTCTGGAGCAGACTGTTTAGTTCCGTGTCCCCTGTCCCATTCAGGCTTCTACGTGTTTTGAAGCTTTCTTTAGCTTTTCCCTGGGCCTTGACGGCAGATCTCTCAATAGCAAAAAGCTTGGCGCTGGTGAGCTGAATACAAGATTGGCACAATACTCTGAATTTTAATGGTGTCGGCTGGCCCCAAAGCTCAGCAGTGCAACAGTGGCTGCTGCCCCAGCCGCAGCAGCTGCCTCCGACTTTGAGATGGGCTCTAAATGGGATCCTGAAGTTGTCTGTTTGCTTGTTTGCAGATCTACACTGACTGGGCCAACCATTATCTGGCCAAATCCGGCCACAAGCGTCTCATCAAGGATCTCCAGCAAGATGTGGCGGATGGTGTCCTCCTGGCCCAGATTATCCAGGTTGTAGGTAAGAGTGGGCTCTTGCTGGAGGGTGGGTGAGTTATAAGGGAAACAGGGGAGTGGACCACTAAGACCTCTAAGAGAAAGGCTGGGTTCATTTTGCTATGTTGAGATTTTGATTCTGCCTTTTGATTCAGCTTGTGTGTGGCCCAGCTTCTCTTTCCTTTTAAAAAACACACACAGCAATCTCCTTTTCACCCTCATAGGGGAAATGAGTGTCCAACCAAAAGGAAAATGCTGCTGGTTTGGGGAGAGGCTCTGCCTTTTGGCTTGCTACTATCTTCCTCACTCTTGATGGTACTGTTCTAAGTGTTACTCTGGAAATATTTCAAAAACATATTTTACAAAGTACTGTGGAGCTGTTTTAATCCTGCCAGCTTTAATTGGGTCTGAGAAATCAAAGGACAAACTTCTGGAGAAGGTTGGTTGGTTCTGGTCTTAAATAGCAGGGGGAGGGAATTTGAACCCTGGAGTTTTGCATGTCTTGGCCATGTGCTGAATGTGGTGGGTCACTGCAAGAAGGCAGTGGGTGGAGGCTGGCTTTGGGTTTGCCTGGGGCCTGAGGGCAAGAGCCCCGGGGGGTCCTGGCTCAAAGCAGACTGAATGGACTGAGCAGGAGGAGGCATGGAGGTCAATTAGACAGCATTAGGCTGATTGTTGTCACAGGCAGACTTGGCAGCTGACTCCGGCCAAGTGGGCAGGCTCACGGGGAGTCTGTAACTGTGGAGAGGCTCAGTCTTCTCCACAAACTGTCAAGAGCAGCCGATGCAGCTGCAGCTCTGCTTACAGCATGGATAGCACACCTGAAGTGGATCCACAGCTTCCTCAAGATGGATTTCTGACCTCTGGCTGTTATGGGTCCATCCTCCTCCTCTCTCTGCTTCTCCCTTCCTACCTTGTATTGCTTCCTGGGGTTGTGGACAGATTTTTCAGAAACAGCAGCCTAAAACAATATATACATCCTCTTCAGCATATGATAAGATTACATCATGATGCTCTATTTTAAGTCAAAAATGCTTTGGGGGGGGGCAACAATTTGATGCAACATGTTAAGCTGCCATTTGCGACCCATGCCTTCTGTATTACAATACTGATTCTTCTCTTAGCTACTCTGCTTCTAGTGTAGCTCCTTGAACCTGGAAAGGCAGCAGATGATGGCCAAAGTAGTTGGAGCTCAGCCATTCATGTGAAAGAATAGAATGGAGTTTCTGGTTTGTGGCTTTGGCACAGACCTGGCTATTGCAGCCAATATAGGAATGAGCCAGTGGATGCAACATATCCCATGTTTGCCTCTATCACCTTGCCTTTCAAGTAAGCAATCAAATAAATTTTTTTTACAAAAACCATTTAATGTTGCTAATAAATCCATCAGAAAATAGTAAAAGCACATGTTGGGGGCCATCTGCCCATCAATTTTGCATCAGGAGTATTCACTGGACTTTGCTGAGAGCCTCTGCCCACGAGATGCCCTTAAGGGAATGATTCTTATTTAGGAATTTGGCTGGGAAAAGGCTTGCTTTCATGCTCACTCAGGTCTTGGAGGAATCAATTCCTTGCAAGTCCAGGATTGTGGATGCTGGCATCTTTCTGGCTGTCAGCTGGACGCATCCCTCAGCTCCTAGAAGCTGCTTTCATGTCCTTGCCATGTGCTTGTCTCAATATGGCCACCCCCATCTTTAAAAGAAGGTTCCTAGAGGAAGTCTGCCAGCAAGCTGGAACCTTGTACAGGGGAGGATCCTCTCACTTTGGTCATAGTCTAGAGGTTAGAACAGGTTGTGGATCCTGCCCATACCCCAGGGCATGAATGCCTGGATGTGGGCATCATGGCAGTCATTGCAAGTCTGTCTGCCACACCCTTCCTCCTTTAGCTTCATTCCTCCTATAACATCATCATTTAATAGGTACCACTTGTACCTATTAAATTTTTAATTTATTTTCATTGTATTTAAAGACAGAGAAAACAATTTTTTCCATCAACTAGTTCTTTCCCCAAAGCCTACAATAGCCAGGGCTGAGCCTAATTGAAGCCAGGCACCCAGAACTCGATTTGTGTCTTCCATCTGGGTGGCAAGGACCCACGCAATAGAGCCATCACCTCCTTCCTAGATCCATTAGCAGGAAGCTGGATTGGAACCTGAGACAAACCTTGATCTTACGCACTCCAGTATAAGATAAAGGTGCCCCGAGCAGACACTTGAACCCTGAAGCTCTGGAGAGTGTCCACAACTGATTTTTAAAATATCCTTTTGAAGTGGGTGATGGTCCATCCATCTCACAGATGCAGAGGTTAGAGGCCAGTGTCACAGATGACTCTGTGTGGCACTTCTGACCTGGAGAAATCTGCATCTGACACTTGTCTTCTTTGCTCTGTCTCAATTTCATATCACTGTCCAGAGTAGCTGCCTAGTGTAGCTTTGTCTTCCCATGAGTTTCATGACCATTTGTTGAGCACCAGCTATGTGCCAGCAGTGTGCTCTTTGGTCAGAATGACAAAATGAATTTGTAAGATTCCAAACCTTGGAAGAAGAGTTAACATTTTCTTGGCAGAATTTCTTTGGAAGCAGCAACGTGCATGTGGGTTTTGAGACCCAGGGTCACATTGGGCCTGTGACCTACTTTGACAATTCCTTGGGCTGCACAGAGTGCTTCTTGTGGGAAACTTGCTAGATTTTAGCACAGACAGCAAGAGAGAAAGCGGAGAATCCATCACAGTGAGAGAACTTGCTCTCATTCCAGCTCTGTTCCTCCCTATTGTGGGACTTGAGAATCACTTCACTTCTGCTGCCTCTGTTTTCCCATCTTTAAAATGCAACAGTGATGCTTGTTTTTGCTTAACTTTATGGCAATTAGTTGATCATGAAATTTGTTAGTAGTTTACAATGTGCTCCTACTTGATAGCAACTGCCTGGTGAGACCTTGTACTGCAAGATTATGGGATCTTATTGTGAGTGTCAAAGTATGCCATGGTGCATTAGTTTTGTCTGGCGTGAGCTCAGGAGAGGCCTCGTAGCATGTGTGTTGTGAGTTTCCTAAGCACAGTGCTATGCAAGTGTCAGCCAGCACATTCATGGCTTGCTCAGGATGCTTTCCTGAATCGGTGTCTGCGGTGCCCAGACAGGCTCAAGTTAGCTCCAGGAATGTAAATGCCCCTTAGGCCACCACGTTGCTTTCCCTCAGCCTCCTGGGAGACAGTCCCTCTGACCAGCACCCCGCAGGTAAGGCCACATGTCAGGACATGACCCCTGCCTTTGGCATACAAGGACTCAGCCTCTGCTCTGTGCGTGAAACAGAGACCAACAATCCTTCCTGGCCAATTGACCAGCCAGATCAGAGCCACTAACCTCCAAGTTACTAGTGAACACACTCCTCTGTGAGAGGGTGGGCATCATTCTCTGACCAGGGCGCTGAACTAGTGAATAATTGTCCTACTGTCTGCTTCTGAGAACCATGCCTTCCACATATATAGACCATGAGAAGAAGGGCCCATGAAGGGGAACTCCAGGGGCACAAGCTTGTCATATGTATATGTATGTGTGTATATATATATGTATGTATTTAATGTACGCACTCATATGTGCATGTATTCACATTTATCTGTTTCTGTGTATTTTTTATTTGAGATAACATTTTTAGTTTACATTATACTAAAAGGTTTAATGGCTGTATTAAAGAATCTGACGAGTAAAAATTAAATATAATCCAGCAGGAAAACAGGTCAGGTCTGTATAAACAATAATCAGTTGAAAAGATGTTCAACTTTACTCACAAAGTAAGCTTTAAAATAATCATAAAATTATTAAAACTGTAGTGGTACAAAATTCTCATTAAATTGTACATATCTATTTTTAGCTGCCTATGTGTCTACATATAATTTCGCAGAATTACTCCCCATCCATCTTTTTAAAAATTACTTAATTTTTATGTGAAAAGCAGAGTTACACAGAGAGAAGGAAAGAAAGAAAGAGAGAGAGATCCTCCATCTGCTGGCTTGCTCTCCAGATGGTTGTAATGGCTTGAGCTGATCTGAAGCCAGGAACTAGGAGCTTTTTCCAGGTCTGTATCAGGGGTGCAAGGGCCAAGGACTTCAGCCAATCTCTGCCATTAGCAGGGAACTGGATCCAAAATGGAGCAGCTGGGACACAAACTGGTGCCCATATACGATGCCAGCACTGCAGTTGGAGGCTTAGCTTACTGTGCCATGGCACAGGCCCCAGGCTCTGTCCATCTTGTGCTGGGTGTAATTCTAGTGGTAATAATTGGTCCTTCTAAAGGAAGATGCTAATGGATTCCTCTCATATCTTCCTAACTGCCCCAGGCAGATTTAGAGGGACCTTCTGCCATCGTTCTATTGGCTTCATCTTAAACCTGGTCTTCTCTAGACCTGAGTCTAGTAAGTTCTTTTCCTTCCCAGGTTCATGACGTGTATCAGGGTGTCTGGCAGACACTGATGCTGGGAAAATAGAGTACTCTGGATGAAAATTCCACTTTATTGTACCCAAGAGCTGACCTGTGCTCTCAGCTTTTGGTGCTCAATATGCTTTCCTTTTAAGTGTGCATTATATGGTGCTACAACCCACAATCTTTGGGATTAGAAAGAAGCTTTAAAAGCCCCAAGTTGGTGCATGAACTGCTTCCATCAAATATAGTCAGCAGCCTTATATTAATTACTTCCTTTGTGGGCAGCTTGCAGGACTTCATTCTAATAATGGAGAGTTGGAATTCTGTAATAGCTTTGTCTTCATCTGTTAGGCTGCTATAGTGAATTAACAGATGTTTATTTCTTTTAGTACAAGAGGCTGAGAAGTCCAAGGTCAAAGTGCCAAGAGATTCACTGTCTAGTGAGGGGCTGTTTTTTGAATCTTAGATGGCTGCATTCTTTTCCTGATTTTGAAGTTTTATTTGTTTATTTGAAAAAGTTAGAGGAGAAAGACCAAGAGAGATCTTGCATCAGCTGGTTCACTCTTCAGATAGGCACAATGGCCGGGGGTTTCCAGCACAAAGCCAAGA